TTTACGTTGTTTCTTCAATATAGTAGCAATTTTCACTTTACTATGATTAGTATTGTCTTCATTGAAAGCAAACTTGTTATGTATCCTAGGTTTTTTTGCGTAATTACCGCATTACCGTTTAACTACCGTTTCAGATCAAGCGATATTTTCACGATCCATGAACCATAATTCCATTTTAAATTTTTCAATTAGCTTTGCGCAAATATCCTTGATAGATGAACACTTATTTAGAAGTGAAATTGACAATACAAATATTAGTTAATAAAATAATAAAACAATTTTATTCAACTTCGCCTCGCTGTTATATGCATTACTTGCGACATGGTTGTTAGGTTGTGTGAATATAACAATTTCTCCCAACATTTAATTGTTGAATAATAGTGATTTTAATTTTATTTGCAGTGGGTTGTTCATTTTATTCATCATATTTCTAGTTTGCTGTAAACCATTCCGAAGGAGTTGTCCAAAAAACATAATCATGTTGGAGTTATTTGTAAGTTTCTCAAACATACTTTTTTTCAATTTTAAAAAGAAACTTTTCCTAGTTTATATTATATGCCGCTTCTTACTACACTTACTGCTCCTTTGAATGTGTCGAGTATGGAAAGGCCTTTGATTCACTTGTTCTATTTTAGAAGTAAAGCTTTGGTAATTGTTCGAAGTAATGATTATGTGTAGTCCTTATAAGTCTAGAATAATGACTCATTCAGTAAATTTCAACGTCCTGTAAACACCTAGCTCGATTGCTTCAATATTTTATATGTACACTTCTAATTATTCTTTCAATTTTGTCTAAACGATTTTCGAATTCTTCTTGAATACTTTAAGATTTGATCATCTTTTATCAATGCCACTGAGATTCTAAGTTAATCTCTGTTGTAACATTGCTATCCCAGTGTGCATCTCCAACCACGGAGCTATAACAGACTGTTACTTATTAATTCCAAATAAGATTTGACGAATATCATTTTCATTCCAGACAATCTGTTTGTCAATCGTGGCTGGTATAATATCGAGGTAAGTAAGAGGTTGTCTCAGTAGACTTTCACGGTTGTGGCACATCACATCAAAGCAATAACACAGGACTCACTAAATATAGAAATGATATAAAAGAAGATAACATTCTTACTCCCTCCTATAACAATGTGACGGAACGCACATTTTGAAAGACATGGGATTGAACGTCACAGTCGTGTCATGACATAATTTACAACAGTTTACTCCATAATTTTTTTTCTTCTCAGTTACTGTGACACAAAGTCTGTACTGATAGCATTTGGCATCAGTGATGTAAGTATTCATTGAAATACCCAAAATTTCCATATTTTTGAAAGTTCGTCACTCGTCATTGTTATTATTGCATAAATAATTTGCGTATCGCCATAGAGTTTATTACGTAGCCACAAACTACGGAAATGAAATGTACCCGGATACAACCAAAAAGATGAAAAGAGTATTTTGGTTGTTAAACCGTTGGTAATTACAGATTGTGATCAGCATGATCCATACTGGTAAGCGTATGGATTTTATTTTCAGAATTTTCATTCAATTCCACATTACCTGAACTACAGTAATTATCATGGACGATAACAGACATTCGCATAAATATTTGCACGAGTGGCAAGTTATACATGTATATTCTTAATCAACACACTCATACACACGTATGTTAGCACTTTAGGTGGTCCCCCGTTTTTGATTGATTTTCATGACGATAATTTTAGTTCTCTTATTTTTAGTGAATATTTTATTTCAGTTTTTGTTATTTTTTATCTTTTTTAAAAACCGAAACCCAATTGTTCCAAAGGTGTCTTAAGTTGATCATTGTCAGATTGATTTGATTGTTTACTCTGTCAGAATAATTCATTTAATGTCCATAACGCAAATTGTCTCATTCTAGTGAATATCGGCATTCTTGACTGATTGATTTGAGATTTCTTTCTCATTAGAAATCAACGGAGCTGTATCTGCTGACAGACTGCGTTTATTTTTATGTTTTTCAACTCACTTCTTCGGTGTGTGGAAATATGCATGAGATAAATAAATGTTTTTAGTTCGACGTCACTTACATGACTAGGCTCGGATTAAGGCACAATTATATATTTATTTGATTGTATTAGTGGATGTTATATGATTTCATTGATAAAGCATTACTAGCTGATTAGAACTGGTGAAGGTGTCGCCATACACCATATTTCTCGGAGCTTTTTGTAGTGAATAATCCCCCTAAATCTAAACTTGTGATTTGTTTTGCAGGGAGTATGTCTTGGAATGACGATCTTCTTGATACAGACAAAGTATGATTGCACTATATATGGCAGTGTAGTGTACACTTGCTTGTTGGTTGTCGTCCTCTCTGGTTTCACATTTATTTTCACTTACAATGACATATTGCAGGCTGTATATGGTGCAATTGGAGCGTTGTTGTTATCAGGGGTAAGTTGTATATGTCATGAATCTGTCTAAAGCAAACATCGAAGTATAGGAAGTATACAAGTACTTCATTATTGAAAAGCTGTAAACTGTAAAACAGTTTTCTTTCCGATATAAATAATATGCCATGTAAACTCACATAATCGTTTTTATCATTGCAGTTCTTTGCGTATGACACGCAACAGATTGTCGACGGCAAACGCGGCGAAATAGGTCCTGAAGACTACATATTTGCTGCTTTGAACATCTATACTGATATCGTGCATATATTTCCCGATTTATTTCGTGTGATTGGCTGTTTATAAGGCAGATGTATGAAATAAGCGAAAGAAGTCTATATCCCTGGTGATTTAAGTATAACGTTGTCAAATATGACGGCGCTTTACATACGCGTTTTAAGCTCTTTTATATGCTTTTTTACTACATCCGTAATTTACATAGATAGGGGAATATTCTGTGATTTGTTATGTGTGAAGTAATAAAGAAATATTTAATATATACACGTACTGCTACATTGCCCTTCAGGATAAGATAAACCCACAACAGTGGTTATGATTGTAAACTCGCGACTAAAAATGAGAAGTTGTCAAAATGTTATACAACCTATTGATCTGTTAAACATACTTCGTCTAGTTTGTTGTAGGCAGGGTTTCATATGGCGAAGATCGTATTTGTAAAAAAAACTGTCTATAAATCTATTATAGATAAGTTATTATAAAACAATTCCACTTTAAAAACCAAGTTATGAATGGTATGTTTAAATGCTTTTCAAGTAGAGCCAAGGAAATCGCAATGCTCACAAAATGAGGACATCTTGCTACCCAAACACGCAACAATCCATATCAGATCATTGATATGACGTGTAAAGACTAGATAGCATTCGGAGAAGATACCGACCTGCGCTAGATTTCTACAAAACTTACTGACTGTAAAACGTTAGCGTTAGCTTATTAATATGAGAGTGGACAGCGGAAGCTTTGGGCTGGTTATTGTAGGTATAAGCTACGTGAAGTTACGGTGTTATAAATAGAAGTTATGGAAACTGCAACTGCAACAGATCTGACACTGAGGGCAGAGGAATGCTGTTCAAATATTGTAGAAAACAGCGGAGGCTGTAATTACACCCGGTACTACACCTAAATCTGGACAGAGAGGTGCCACTGAGCATTTGTATATCCTTGTATTAGGAACAATACATACCCTTATTTATACCAAAGTACAATTTTTGAAACCCATACTTATATCGTGGTTTTAATTTTATTTAATTTGTCAATTGTGAAATCACAGTTCTTCGTTTTGTTGATCTTCTTAGACCACCAGAATATGTTGATGGGTGTACAACTGTACAGTTCGTCTACAACTTACGCCAGATATTGATACCTTGGATTTATACCTATTTGGGAAGTAAATAAGACACATATCTTGGAAAACAGGACCCGTTCAATTGCACGTTTCAAATATGTATTTTTATGTAAATTCTGTTTTTATTTTTCTGTAGGTACGCACATTATTTTTTTATGGTTTGTATCTTTATTTTCATCATGTAATATTTCTCTGTTTTGCATATCCTGACGTCCTGAGATTTGTAGTTGTTCCATACACTACTCAAATTCAAATTTACCCTTTTTGTCTCAATGTAACCCAAGTTTGTAGGCTTCATATACTAGCGAATTTAGATTAGATTCATCTATTTTGATCCAATATTTTGTCATATATTTTAATGACTGCGAGAGGGTATCTTTCCAGCTCTAGCACTGCAAAAAAACATGATTGGTTTAACCATTGCATTAAAACATTTTAAGAAGGTTTAGGATTGAATCGGTGTTTCTGAAACATCGTTTGTTTTATTTTTAGGCCTCATAGATCTTGCTTCCTGAGCCCCAGCGAATTTTCCCAATTTGTGAACTTTTTTTCCGAGGTATGTGTAGGTTTTTTTCTAGTTCCTTTCCATGGACATAGAAGTTGAATTTGTCCAGTGACAATTTTAGATTTAGAGATATTTATATTGAGTTTCCATTTCTGACAGTATGTTTCAAGGGAATTGATGATGGCATTTGGCAAGCCTGGACAACAAAACAAGGTCGTCTTTGACTGGTTACTTTCACATTTAATGATTTATTCATATCAACAACCCACCCCTAGGCATAAGCTGTTGTGTACTGTTGTGGACTATTTAGATTTGGGGTGGGGTGCTCTGAAGTCAGTTGAAAACTGGAACCATCGACTTTGGGGCCCTTTAGCTCCCAAAATGACCCACATTATCTTTTATTGGCCGAAAATCTTGGCTCAGTCGTGAGAATGGGGGTTTACATAATGGCGTATACTTAATCTATGGCCTATGGCCTATGTAGCAAATAATATCAATCTTTATTGCGTTCGATTCCTTATTAGGATTTTGACTTCAAGTCAACATAGAACAAAGAAAAAATATAACTGATATATTACGCACTAACTTGAACGGAGCCAAGCACCTAGTTTCGCTTCTTTTCATATGTAAATTATAACGCATACCATCGCTCAATCCGAATGACGTCATTGGTTTATAACTCATCACATGATCACATGACGATACGTCACCTTTGAACCCTGCTGTGTTGTTCGCACCTGAGATTGTCTGAAAGCTGTGACTTTATCGGTATACTTACATTCCAAAATGTCCGGAGGGACCGATGGGCAGCCGTACGCACTCCTCCATGAGGAGGACCCACCGCCGTATACAACAGCAAACACTGATTCTATTTCAACGCAAGGGCTGACCAGCAAAGATGGCGTTGCGGGCACATACGGAACCACACCAACTGCACCCCATTACGGCTATGCAGGTAATCGCCCATCGCTCAGTCCGTTGTTTTATCATTTTAGCAGTACTCGATCGTAGGCGCCTCCCCTAGATAGCTACACTAACTAAGTCCCGAACTTGTGGCTTGGTGCGCCAATAAGCATGACACTTGAGGTGTATACTAACTCCGACAGGTGTAAGACATTTGAATATATATTGACATATTTACCACTATTATTCCACAATAGTTACAAGTACCGTATTTGCTCTATTAATAGCACATGCACTTTAATACATAAATTTCAGAGCTGTTTCTATGGTCAAAATAAGTTTTATTAGAGGTACATTACTTGGGGTTTGCAACTACGGTGACATGATATCAAGATCCCATTTCAATCTCGCTCTCGCATAAGCGTTCCAACTCAGAAAAATGCGAATGCGCATGCCCGAGGTAACTAGGATACTGGGATGTCCAGGTGGATCAAAATAGCTGCTCACGATATGATGGATTACGATAACTATATTTTCTGTACATTTTCGATGTATTACATTTTTTCACTATGAATGTGGTAATACACGTTTTATTGTATTATTACAAACCGCCTATGTCATGTCAGAAGGTCGCAGCACCAGTCTCGCTATCTACGAGATGAGACTTGAATGGGATCTTGGCATGATGTCACCATACAGTACTATGCGCATTGCAAACCCCAAGTAATGTACCTCTGGTTTTATATAATATGTTTATAAATTTCAAATGGCAATTGAAAACATCAGACAAATACTACTTGTATAGAACATCAGTGCAGTCAATAAACCTTTAACTTCTCTTTTGATACCGACTCGCTTTTGAAGTTTAACGATCTGTGCCAAACGCTAATGATACTATCGTAAAATTTGTATTAGAAGCCGCATCCCTAATAGAAGTCGCACCAATCCTTTTTAAAAAATTGAGAACCAAAAATTTATCATTTCTCATTAGTGTAGATGCTCTAATAGAAGCCACATACCCTCTGTTGCATCGTACCATTTTAACAGAAGCCGTGGTCTCTAATACAGATTTTACAGTACTTGTATTATTTACTACATGAATCACTATAATTTCAAGCGTAAACAAATTTTATGATTGAATAAACTGAAAAGACATGTGGGTAATGGTCGTTACAGCCAATGTTTTATAACTATGTATAAATGTACATAAAACAAATTCATACCTTCATAAAACATAGTGTACAACAAATGCAATATTCAGTTTATATGCTCTTCTTTTGGAGATCTGCTTCTAATAGTGCAAATACAATATCTGTGAATTGTTTTGCCAGGTACATTGGCACTGTATTCATTTACTGTGGAATACTTTATTTTCGCTGGAATTAATTTTCGCTGAAAAGGCTTTTTGGACGTTTTGTATAAAATTTATTTTCACTGATTTTTGATGAGTTTATATAGAAATATAGGAAAAAATGTATATTCGCTGGATTTTATTTTCACGGAATCAGCCTTTCAGCGAAAATAGCGAAAATAAATTCCAAGTGAAAATAAAGTATTCTACAGTAAACAACTATCAGTGTTGCATTAACACCATTTATTGGGAAATACACACTTTTTTATCGTAAAAAGCAAACATAATCACGTAATGCACACAAATAATGAGATTTCCTCAAACCCATTTACCTACTAGAAATAGACATGTGTATAAGTACTGTAGAATACTTTATTTTCGCTTGGAATTTATTTTGGCTATTTTCGCTGAAGGAATGATTCCGTGAAAATAAAATCCAGCTAATATACTTTTCTTCCTGTATTTCGCATTAAACTCATCAAAAATCAGTGAAAATAAATTCCATACAAAATGCCCGAAAAGCCCTTTTCAGCGAAAATTATTTCCAGCGAAAATAAAGTATTCCACAGTACATCATTCTAATTAGTAGCATTACCCAAACAATAACTCATAATTTTGTTAGTTTTAGGACCAAATGATAACAAAGATGCCCTATGGCAATCACCTTCACTTTGTATCTCTCATAGATGGTTGACCCATTAATTACATTTTTTTAATTATGTAATTTTAGCAAAATTGGTCTTCAAATCACTATTAAAATTGTGAAATTATGCTTAGCATAATATGAGTGATGCCATAAAGCATTTAATACCAAGTTTATTTATGTTTAATGATTTATCAATAAACTTATCCTTCAGTGATTGATGAATTGGTAGTACCGGTACTGCTGAATCCTGTAGAACTGTGATTCTTACGATGTTAGATTGCATGTATTCTTTGTGAATGTTTACCTTTGGGAGATATGAAGAAAAAAATAAAGCTGTCGATACATAGAACCTAATATAGCATCTTTAATTGACTTTCTGACAGATACACCTTATCAAGGCTCTTCAGGGCAAGTACCAGCATACAGCACAGTGGATCCAACACCAATGTACCAACCAACTTCTGAAACAGATCATATTGTTGAGGGTGGTGGGTTTACATCGGAAAATTCCTTCTCTGATATGAATGTTAGGAATGGCTTCATCAGAAAGGTAAAATTATGAAGTTTTATTTGAATTCCCTAGTTTTGGTTTAAGGATGATTGTTACAATTATATTTTCACATTTTGTGCACAATTATAATCCATCGTGTTTGGTTTAAATCATGATCTATGTTTTGAAGTGTATAATTATGTTAATATTGCCTTTTATTTATTTTATGTAAGGCCAGACTTTTATTATCCCTTGTTTCGCGAACCCGCCGAATAAACATGAGCCGAAAATGAAATAAAAATAACATTTTATTTCAGCATAATTTCCCGCGCCCGCCGACTTGTAAGGGCAAAAAGTTGTTAAAAAAACTTATTTTTATCTTTTACCTCAACCAATGGGGGGGAAAAAGAAGTCGGCAGGCAATGCAACAATGTCTTTGCACCTCAGTGTACAGGATCTGACTTGTTCACCAACATGGAAAACATTTTCAGATGCTGTTATATAATGTCATATGCTTTTTATTTATAAATATTATATATTGCTCATTCCGTCAGGTGTATTTGATTCTAATGGTTCAGCTGCTTGTGACTTTTGCTGTAGTATGTCTGTTTGTATTTTCGTAAGTAATATCATACATGTATGCTTTATCTATTTTTATACTTTAGGCATATGCTCCTCCTTTATCATTTTCTCTTAACACAGCTTTGTCTGACAATGATTATGAAAAATTAATAAACATGTACTATAACAAAAACAGAGGATCACAATGAGCAGAAAAACAAACGGTGCAAAAAATAGGATTTTAATCTGCTGGTTTCTAAAAATAGACAGATCATTCTTTATAGTGCCTGAGTAGATGCATTAATGGGTCAGAAACAAAATTATAAAAATGTAATAATAATAATAATTATTGCAATCAAATCTATTTTAGTAACTTTAAATGTCTAAACTATTAGTTTTTACTCATGTTAAAATTTGAAAAAAATCAAATAAATGAAAATTAGCTTGCTTAGTTTTCCTCATGAAAAATCCTTGACCATTTGACTTAAATAAGGGAATTTAAATTCTATGGTATAAAGCCATTTTCTGCCACCGTTTTGTTGACATTAAATGTAGTCTTCTGTAATTTTATTGTTAATACTACATGGACATAATTTTCTGTAAGTCTTGATCAACATTCTTAAAATACAAAAAACAAAACAAATTCAATTTGTAAGGTGAGAAACATCACTGTAGGACAAGCTTACTATGGAAGTACTATGTTTATAGACAGAATGACATTGCAGTTACGGGGGGTGGGGGTTATGGGGTAATAATTTGTATGTGCTATTACGTATTCTAAAAAGGTTTTGTCTTTGCAGGCATATATTTGTTTGTGATGGATGGATTCACATGACATTTTCAAGGAAATTGCCCTTGAAACACAAACCAACCAATTATCTTTTGGTAAAGACTTGATTATGGTTGCCATGGAAACAGCAACTTGAAAACAACTTTTCATTTACCGATATAACACAAAAAAGAATAGCCACCCTTGCCAATTGTCAAGACTCAATTCGGTTTTGGAATGTAAATATGAAAAAAGTGGTTTGTCATCAGAAGATATTATTAATACAACAGAATAGTTGTATTAGGCCAGACTTTTATTATTCCTTGTTACACGAACCCGCTGAATGAACAAGAGCCGAAAATGAAATAAAAATAAAAGTTTAATTCACTGTAATTTCTCGCACCTGCCAACTTGTAAGTGCAAAAAATTGCTACAAAAAATTATTTTTATCTTTATTTTTTTTTCGCCCGCCGCATAACAAACCCAAGTTGCATTTTTATGGGGAGTATCATGATCAAAGTACCGAAGTCTCGCGCAGATCTATACTTTATGCGCGTTGGTTGACAGTGAATCTCGGGTATTGACCTTTCTGCATGACTTATTGACTTATAAAAACTTGAGAAACAAGGAATAAAAAAAGTCTGGCCTTAGTGAAAATAAGTAATTTACATTTGTGTCAGAGGTTTGCATCTTTGAAGTGCCTTCTAGCTGATATACTTGATAGTATCTATATAGTGGAAGTAATTAATGTAATGTATCATACAACAGTTAGATTTTTTTCTGTTTTTCAGTGAACCAATGTGTGATTTTGTGCAAGACAACCCAGGATTTTATTTTGCTTCATAGTAAGTATACCGGTACTTGTGGTATCTGCAGTCTACTTTATGAGGTGGAGTTTCTAAATAAGGAGTGTTTTCTTTCTGTATGGGGTATTTGCAGACTACCTTTATTAGGAAGTAGAGTTTTCATTCTGTATAAAGTGCCCAGCTGCACACTAACTTATTAGGAGGTGAAGTTTCCAAATAAGGAGTGTTTCCATTTTGTATTATCCATGACGTGCCATGCTCGCATTTTCTTTTACTTTTTAGTGCAGTATTCCTGGTTTGTTTCATTGCATTGGCCTGCTGTGGGGATCTGAGACGAAAATCTCCTACTAACTTGATTCTCTTAGCGTTATTTGTGAGTATACTTAAATTGATTTTTTTTTCGCTTAATGATTTGTCTATTTTCCATGTAAAAATCTGGGTCGATGTTTAATTGATCTACCATACCATACTCAGTATTCATGCTTGACTAAGAACCCACCCCACACTTATGGGGGATTTCTGTTTTCAGGTTTACGTTCGACTTAGCAGTCACCCTTTCCCAAACGTCATAAATCATAACATTGAGTCATAAAACCTAGTCGATGAACATTGTCTTATTTGTCCTAATATTTACTGTGTCCATTCTTGTATGTATATCGTGAACGGGTAAACTACAATTTGATGGGATAAGTTGATGTTTGTGAATCATGGTAAAATAACTTTTCCACCCTCAGTTCCCTTTCAAAAATTGTGAATCACCAGTTTTGAAAAAAATCTGTGTTTTTTCGTCAAAATCAGTGCCAACAGATCCTATTTAAACATCATTTTTGCATTGCAATGTAAAAAATACAATCACCAATGAAGATAATGATGAAGCTCAGTTTCCCCAAAGCCCTAACTTTTACACCGTAAATTCTGATGAAATTTAAATAATAATATATGTGTATTTGTGAACATTTCTGTTTCTTTATTGTATGAAAATATTGTAATATTCTCCCCAAAGTAGCACATGGTGAATGAAAACTTATCACCTCCTAAAAAAATCATGATTTTTGATGACCTGCATACCCTGGTCATTGGTATCAACTATGTAGATTATGTAACTGTTTATTGTAACTACATATATGAAATGTGGACTTTGCTTTTACATTTTAAACTTAGACACAATACTCTGGGGTTGAATATTTATTGATTTATTTGAATAATGTACTGTACATCTAATAACAATCGTTTTCAGGATTAAATTTGCTGTGTTGTATTTTTTCTAGACTTTATCGCTTTCTTACATGGTTGGAACCATATCAAGGTATGTATACAACTGCCCCTATCAATCTTATTTTAGCATGAGATACTTTATAAATATAAATGCATTATTGCTTTAACATTTCTACACATTCAGTATTATAAACCAACAATTAAATAACATTTCTACACATTCAGTATTATAAACCGACAATTACCGGTAAGTAACATTTCTACACATTCAGTATTATAAACCGACAATTAAGTAACATTTCTACACATTCAGTATTATAAACCGACAATTAAGTAACATTTCTACACATTCAGTATTATAAACCGACAATTAAGTAACATTTCTACACATTCAGTATTATAAACCGACAATTAAGTAACATTTCTACACATTCAGTATTATAAACCGACAATTAAGTAACATTTCTACACATTCAGTATTATAAACCGACAATTATATAGCATTTGTTATATTTCCTCTTTTCATCATAAATTCAAATTATATCTACACTTTCCTACAGAAAATTTGTTGAGTGAAAACTGAAAATTTTGACTGAAATTTTGTCTGTTGGCTCCACAATTAGGATTAAGGGTCGGATAAAAAAAATATTTATGCAACATGCTATGTTTGTTTTTCAGTTTTTATGAAACCAAGTCTGTCTTAATCGCCCTTGGCATCTGTGCAGTAAGTATAATACTTGAATTTCACATATACTTGAACATTATCTGATAACCAAGTTTAATATGTGATATTCCATATTTCTACGAGATCTGGTATTTTACATGAAAGGCGTGGAATAAATACCTCCAGCAAAAATCAAATGATAATATTTCGAATATGAATTACTTTTTTATAGTTCAATATAGAAACACAGATTTTTCAGAAGTGAACAAGACATTGAGATTACTTCATCAAAATTCATTGTCATCAAATGTGTATATCACATTATTAAACATGAAAATGTCCACCTTTGTGGAATCTCACACAAATTGTTGACACCACTATGACCTTTGTTTCTGCACAATGCAGAAAGTGAACAAAAAAAATCATTCATTTAGCAGCCACTAAAAGTGAGAAAATGAAAACCCAATAAATATACATAATTTTTCTCTAGATCTTAATACTAATAACTTCATAAAAGTATGCCCTCTATGGCAACTCATTGAAAGTATGCCTAAGGCAACTTAATAAACTATGCCCTCTATGGCCAAAATGAGAGTAAAGTCTGAAAAGGTAATATACTGAGGTCACCGTTTTCAGAACTACAAATCATCCCATGGATCATTTTTTGATATCTCGTGTCTGCTATCTACCAGTAATAAGCTATGAATGATTTGATTTGGTCAGATCACACACAAATTGAAATTGAGCATAAACATAATAAAATATTAATAAGACAGAAACTGCATTTTGGAATATCATTTTGTAGTACGAATCAGATTAATGATTTACTGTAAAAAGGTTAATTATTCACTGAGTTTTAATTTTGCTTATTTCGCTGACTGGAAAATGCGCTAAATTAAAACCCAGTGAATATGTAAAATTTAGCATAGAACACATTATCTAAATGATAAAACCGTGAATTTGAAACCCACTGAATATGCCTGAAATGGTAAATCAGCGAAATTTAAACCCAGTGAAAATTAGTCATTTTACAGTAATACGCTCATGTCGTAGAAATTGTCAGTAGAGTGGAGGTTCACTGTTATTTCGAGAATAATAATGAGCATTGGCAGTGTGAACTTGGCAATTCTTGTTTGAAATATGGTCGGTACAGATGTATTCACCATATACTAGTAGTTTCAGTCATGCATTTATGTAGTGGTCTTCATCTTTTCAGTCGCACTGTTCACAGGACAAGTTTCCCTGTGTACCGGCTGAAAAATTGCATTAATCACATTAAATGTTGCATTATACATTTGTCATTCTCTCCTATTATGCATTGTTGGAAGAATTAATCATTAAATTTATAAAATTTATTTTTACAGGGTGTTTGTCTGAGTGTGAGTCTTTTCTCCATTCAGACAAAGTATGATTTCACATCATGTGCTGGTGTACTGTTTGCTTGCTGTATGTGTCTCTTCTTCTTTGGATTCTTCTGCATCATCTTCCGATCGGAAATCCTACAAGTCGTCTACGCTGGACTTGGAGCAATACTTTTCACTCTGGTAAGTACTGATTAGTTTACTAGTAAGCGTGTGAATCACAGCCTTAGTACGGATTGGTTCACAAGTAGACATGTGACCCACATCTTAGTTCTGATTGGTTTGTCATCTCTCACCTTACTACTGATTGGTTCACTAGTAAACAAGTGACTCCCACTTTACTACTGAATTGTTCACAACTAGACATGTGACCCTGACTGCAACTGTAGAGAAAGCACTTCTAGTTAAAAGGTAGTGCAAAGATCATTGTAGTGGTTTCTTTGCTCTATCACATTTTATCGCTGAATATCATCAAATCAGTTTGTGTCCTATTTGATTTCTAGAATAGAGTTAAATGTTATCTAAAATGTTTTATTTGCATTCATTTTAAAAGTCAAAGATCAAAAAAGATAATAAAAGTCAACAGCTTTATTTACATCATAATTGAATTGAATAGAATCCCATTATTGAATATAAAATCAATCAAAACACAACAATTCTTTGTGCATACTTTATAAACTCTTAGTATACTGTGAAATATTTCAATTATTTTAGTTGGAATTAATTTTTGATGAAAAGATTTTTGGGTGTTTTGTATGGATTTTATTTTCACTGATTTTTTAACGAGTTAAATGTAAAATATAGGCAAAAAAGAATATTCACTTGATTTTATTTTCACTGAATCATTCCTTCAGCAATAATTAATTACAAGCGAAAATAAAGTATTTTACAGTATTCAACTTGAAACAAAATCATGAAATTCAGCGATGCGATTGGTAAACTATATATGAGTAATATTTATTTTTGTTTGCAGTTCCTGGCATATGACACCCAATTGATCATCGGCAACAAACGTTACGCAATCAGCCCTGAAGAATACATCTTTGCGGCCCTTAACCTGTATATTGACATTGTATACATCTTTCTCTTTATTTTATCCTTATTTGGGGGCAAAAAGTAATTCAGGTTCTGGGGGAGAGGGTGTGTGTGGAGATGCAAAGATATTTTTGATTGTATAAAATATATATCAAAATATTCCTGGGAAGTAGAAAAATATATCATCTTGAAATGTTTAAATATTATGTTTCATTTTTAACAGATTTATTATTCTCTTTGTTGCATTATGGGGGATAGGTATGTATGCTAAGGTCACACTGTAATTTCAAAGTCAACTTTTGTAACCATTTACGAAATTAAGCTATCATAATTTTTGTCATATTTTTTTCAAAATTTATGATTGAGAACTGTTGTCTATAAGACATTATTATACACCCAGCATAGAATATAAATGAATTTACCTTTCCATAGCAGTATTTGCAATTGTTCCCAAAAAATGTCTGCAAATTCTGTTGTAGTCACATTCAAACACTTTGTTTTACATTATATGCAGAAGTGTTATAGAGCATGATGATGGAAAGATAATTATGTCTCTAAATGCATAAGTTAAATTATTACTATAATCAAAGAAAAGATGTATAATGAAAAGCTGCGTGAGTTGTGAGAATGACGCAAAGTATGCTTTCAGGCAGTTAAGGTTTGCATGGACCACCACTGTGTCTGATATTATCACTGTACCGACATACTTTGCAGTATTCTCATAAGCAACATAAAAATGGCGAACCTAAATTTTGGCTTCAAAAATGATTTCATTTGATAAGTTAATTTACAAAAAGTTTTATTTTATACACATTCTAATAAGGTTGTATTTTGAATTAAAATATATTTTCTTTTGAGTGCATTTCACTTCTTGGTGTGATAATCACTCGGATTTGTATGTAAAAACCTTCAGAACATTGTAAGACCCCGTATTAAAGTACGTTGTAAATGTTTATTCAGAAACATCACAAAATATTTTATGAGTTTGCGTGGAATAAAGCATTCTGAGTTCACAAGTACGTTATGTAATTACATAGTCGTCAAAGAATTCTATGTCTTTACTAAATGGTTGCTGGCTTACATTGATAACAAGCCTGGAGTGGT